TTGTTGTTGTTGTTGTTGTTGTTGTTGTTGTTGTTGTTGTTGTTGTTGCTGCTGCTGCTGCTGCTGCTGTTGTTGTTCCCGAATATGTATAGGATAATGACCATGAGGTAATATATTAGGCATTGGAAGAGAAGGATGTCCGTGAGCAACGGATGGTTCGGCGTAGCGAATAGATGGAAATATCGATGGATGCTGTTGATATGGAATTACTTGAGAATCTACAGCCAACTTCTGATCTTCACTCATTAATAATTTGGAGTATATTGTTAGTAGGTTTGATGTAAATTCGGTTTTAATTCCCCAAAACATCTTGAACGCGATTGATGTAATAATATAATAGAATACGTACACCACTGAATTGATGATGGGGTACTCCATATCCGTAAGGATAATGAGATGGGCGATCAGACTGTGTTTTATTAATTCATCGACATGGGTGGTCGTGTGGATAAAATAGACAGCGAGTGAGCTGTGTTTATGTAATAATGATAATTAACGTGTGATTTCCAACCTTTTCGTGTTTGTCATCTCGTGGTATAATGTCTACTAAAAAACCAAACATATCTACTTTCTTAATTTCATTTCCTATGCCTGATCTTTGCAATGTTTAGATTCGTCAGCATTTAAACTGATAATATTTAAATGGTAGTTTGTTTTTTTAATCACAATTGTCGATCATTCACGTTTTTTCACTCAACTCAAACAGTTTATTACCATGCGCGTATGGTCAGTTCTATAGCATGCCTTAGCAAATATCACTGGTGCCTAAAGGAATAGATGCATATTAATTGATTGATATAATTGGTGTTTCATATTATGTAGAGGTGCACACTCACTTCGGAGCTGATCATCTGTAAGACAATGGGAAGAAGTAAAAAATGGATTTAAAATGTTGTTTGACCACACATTGTTACACAACTATATTTATTCAATGTGGGCGACCGCCGTCTTCCGCTCCGATCGCACAAAAGCACATTGTTGTATTGATATGGCATACTCTTATTCGATCACACTGGTCCAAGGACTCACTCACCTTCACATCCTCATCAACTTTCATTACTTTCTTAATCCTAGCCAAGGGTAACGGATGATTCTTGAAATCATGTTCCAAGTTAGCGATATCCGTGTCCAGAACGACATTATGGTTATTTTGATTACTGCTCCCACCGTGAAATGAAAATGGAGGAATTGATACAGATGGCGTTGAATGATCTACCATCATAGGTTATTGATGAATGTGCGGTTGCATTTGTTGTAATTGCATATCAGTCCTCCACGTTCGAACCAGGAGTTGAGACTACTACGGAACTCTTATGTACCATCTTTATGGATACTTACGCCAATTTGGAAATTCGTACACTTGAATATGAATTCTTCGTTCAAACATTATACATTTGTAATTTAAGAATTTATTTTTAAATAATAAACTCGTTCCAAAAAAGTTTTGTTATAAATCGGTGTATAATGATTGTTGTGGTTCGTATGATTTTGAGCAAACCATAAATACAAAAAAGACAATTTGATGTAAAAAACTCCCTAAATTTACTAATACCAGAATCCAATATACAAAAATGAAAAAGCGAATGCACGTATATTCGCAGATTATTGAATAATAGACAATAATCTTTCCAGGTTAATATCTGCCTTCACAATAATTATTACGTATCCATGACTAGTAGCGTTTGTCGTCATGGCAGCGTTGTTGGAACGAGTAGGAGTAGGTGGTATTTGACCCGATGTTTGGGGGAGAGGATATTGGATCGCGGGTGGATTGTAACTGGTCAAATCACCGTTCATCGTTGAATAGTTGACTCGGTTCTCATCAACGTATCCGTAATGCGCGGAATTCAACTGTGTATTTACACCCGTGTAGACGTTATTATTGTCGAAAGGACCGGTATTAGAAGGGATAATAACTTGACTGGGTGGTTGCGAATACACTTGACAGAGTGGATAGGAATAGATGCCATTGGAACCCATGCAAATTGGTTGATCCATGTCCGCGCAATCCGAATTCATAACTAGCTGATTTAATGGAAGGCCGTCTGTATTAGTATAGTTCGAGTCCATACTATGCACCTGATCGGATGGAGTGCTGTATGTATAACTTCCATGAATCGATTGGTAAGCCATATCGAGCTCGGGGGAGAATAACGATAAAAGATAAAACCGTGCCTCATATATAATAATCGACTCTCCGTAACACAAATAGATTTATGTAACCACTTGCATATTGTAAAAAAATAATGAAGCAGCCACAATTGAGGATATAAGCGTTAGTTACACTAGAATATTTATATGTGTATATTATTGTATTGTACTGTGACTATTGAAATCGGTACACTAGAATATTTATATGCGTATTGTACTGTGACTATTGAAATCTGTACCATTGAGGAAATTTGATATATAAAATGAATCAGACTAATAGCGTTTTTCAAGCGTTAATTACATTAGAATAGTTATATGTGTATATTATTGTATTGGACTCTGACTATTGAAATCTGTACCATTGATATATAAAAATAAATATCAGACTAGTAGCGTTTTTCAGGCGTTAGTTACAATAGAATATTTATTTACTAGTAGCGTTTTTCAAGCGTTAGTCACACTAGAATATTTAGCGTTAGTATTAGTTACACTCGAGTATTTATTTACTAGTAGCGTTTTTCAAGCGTTAATTACATTAGAATATTTATTTGTGTATATTATTTATTGTATTGTACGGAAACTTTATATGAGACGCCGGTATAAAAACTTGCAACACGCCCTGATAACCCTGATAACGGTTACTATTATGAGCTGTACGACGACAGGTAAATTTCATGAGGGTGCATCTATGAAACTGATATGCGTCAGCAGAAATTTCGATAGTAGGCATACTAACAGTATAAACACATTGCCCACTTTTATATCCTAGAAACTCCCTCGGCATTCTTAGCGTGCTGCATTGTAACAGCTTCATTCAAAGTTAAGCGTATAGACCGTAGCACTGTTAGGGTCAGGTCACATACGAAAAAAGCAAGTGACTATTGTGATGAGAGGCAAAGAGAGACGCCGTGGAATCACTGTTCAACTTTTATTGTATGTTCGATTCTCACTCCTCTGCGTGTGAAGAGTTTTTCAAAAGAAAGGTTAGTACGGTGTAGAATTTGAATACATTTGAGTAAAACCATTGAAATTGGCTTGTTTTCTGCTCTCTCTTCTCATAATCTCCATCTTTGCATTATTTACTATCTTCATTCCCCGAATTTCTTAGATTAAACCGATTGAAATAGTACAAAACATCCACTTCTACCATTACTGTTTGTTCCACTCGGCGTTGGATTCAAAAAATAAGGTGGGATTTTTGATCTTTTCGGAAACACCATTCTGGAATGGCAAGAACAGATATCGGTCGTTTCAGCCACACGCTGTTGGTGCAGTGCGAGTATGGTAACGTAGAGATGCTTCGCGTATGTGGTATTGAACTAACTTTGCTAATTCCTCATTCAATTAGTCCTAACTTGATCTTCTTGTTACCATATCAGAATGCACTGAGATTCATGTGAAGGTGAGGAGGGTAAGAAGTACCGGAACCATAGCATATCATGGCCTAGTCGCAATATAGTCATGTGGAATAATGTATTGTTCCTAGAAGTGAAAGTCCCCCGGAATATGGTGTCTATTACCCATAATCATGCCACTTGTCTCATAAGATAACGGTTTAAAAATACTGGTCTGATATTTACGTAAACACACTTGTAAGAAAGCATAGTTAACAGCTAGTGCTTCACAGTGTCGTTGAAAATCTTTGCGCAATTGTGCAGCCGTGGCCGCCCGTAATCTAATGGAATTGTGAGCAATTTCTATAGGAAGTAGAAGCAACTTGTAACCAAATCCATCATCGGATGACCTGTCTCCATTAAGACATATTCTTCCTTCCAAGACACAAGTTTCTTCATAAGCTGTCCAATCACCTCGTCGATTATAAACATCAAGAACGAGGGTATCAGATTACTCAGTCGATCAGTCGAATATAAGAATTCTGATTCTTGTGTCTATGACCAAACTTCAACAACTATACCTCATCCGCACTGGATAAAATCAATTCTCAATACCAGGATCTTTGCGCATCCCGATTATACCCTTGTCAATCCTCAAAAAGAAACATGTTGAAACACATAGAGAAGACCATGGTCAAAACTTATGTAACATTCAATGAGCATGCATAATTCAATTTGAGTAAATAATCAATCGGCAACAACAAAGATCTCTAGTTTGATAGTCGTCGCCGCGATTGAAAGTGCGGCTTGTACAACATCAAAGAGACCGACTATTTTTTGTGACTAATTCACTTCTGCAATCATGGGAGTAAGTATCCGGATGGATTGTAACATATCATTACTACTATTTCTCCGGAGAGAATCAAGGCTCCATCAAGCAATGCCCGGAGAAAGATTCCCCGAGCGCCATTTTCATCTCGATCCATTACAGTCCCCACAATTCCGGCACTTGTACATTTCGGACCCTCTTATTTTTGAACGCTCCCACACCAGCTGCAAGTTTTTGAAGTATAGGCCTCGTTTGATAATAACACGGACCCTAATTCTTCTGCTTCAGCCACCAGGCGTTGGCGAAATTGATAGTGGCCCAGCAGAGCATTTTGCGAACCGTTTTTTTTTCGATTTGTCATATTCGACACCTCAAAAGGAGGGATGATGATGGCATCGAATTCGCGAGTAAAAATGCGATACTCTTTTTGTGAAGTTCGCTTTGCAGGTGTTTGACTTTTCGTCGCATCCGAAAGATTGCCTTATCAAGTCGCGAGGCCTGTTTCTTCTTACGTTTCGAACTAGAGGCAGCCAGTTTGTCCTTTACAGAAAGGAGATTGTCCATATGCTTGCATAGGCGAATAATTCGTCCAGTGTCGTATTGGCCAATTTTACCTACGCCTTTAGTGAGAGAGTACCATGTGAAGGGTGTGCGAACGCCAGGATCGATGGAAACTGCATGAATATCCGCTTGGGTTTCGCGGAGTTTGTTTTTGCGTCTCGTAAACCCATGAAAATTTCCATTCTTGGTTTGTGAATATATGTAAGCTTACAGTCAAACGTTATTTGTGAGGAACAGGCCACTTATTATTACGCCTTTTTTTTCGAAATGAAGTGGCCACAAATCGCGTTTTTCGTCGACGGATTATGGAGTTGGGTGATATAGTAATAGTAATAGAAACGGTTCCACGTGGATTCGGAAAAGTTCTGCGCACGAATTATCATTGTTTATCGCAAATCTTTTCGGGTTCGAAATGATAAAGACGAACTTCTTTGCTGATTCGTGGTTGATCCTATATTTTGATTGATTATCTTGTCCCTAGCAGTTAACGCTTCATCAATCGCCTCGTCGATAATGTTTGCCGTGCATGTGTACCTTGAAGGAGCATTCCAATACGCATGACTGTTCGCACAAATTTGCGTTCACCCCATACGCACGAACATCCGCGTAAAGCTTAAGCTTATCTTCAATGGGTTGAGATTTTAGCCAAACCCGTCGTGATGGAGCAGTATGCGAATTTTTGGTATGGAAATGGCGATGGAGAGCTTCCGTGTTGTCGTTTGTTGCGTGCTGCTGTTGTCCTGATCTTTGCGCTTTCCCCCTTGTTTAGGGCAACTCTTCTTCCTTGCTTAATTTCAGGGATATTTTGGGAAAGTTTGTGCTCGTCGGAGGTCGCTTTGTTGACGAAAACTATGAGTTTTGTAGTATTGGGGGAGTGGATGAGGTTGTGGCAGAGTCGGACACAATGGGTAAACACAATTTCTGAGACCATGCCGCGACTTTTCCGTTCCAATAAGGTCTTACGTTTATAGGTTGCGGAGCTGACGAGCTATTCGTAGGTTGGGGAGACCCTTTTTTGGTGGTGGTGGTGATGTTAGCATTGAGGGGAGAGGTTATTGCAACGGTTAAAGAGTTTGGGGATAATAATGTCTTTAAGTATGTTTATGGTTGTTGGTATTTGAATGGCGGAACCGAAAACATGCAAGCCTACGCGCATAAAACATGCAATCTTATACGGAGCCTGAAACATGCAATCTCATATGAGCCTGTGTTTGCATTGAATAAAGCTATTGTCTACTAAAACGGTTCTGAAGAAGCACACAACTCTCTCGGCAATACCCAAGGCAAATCCGTCCGAGCGAGGAATGATTGCGCCGACCATAAAGGCTCCAAAGATACAGTGCGCATAAACTTTATTTCCTTCCAAAATACGCGTCTAATCAAAACAGTCAACTAATACGTTTTGTGCGTTCTAAGTACGACATAAAACTTGCATTTTAAGTTATGAATGTACACTTGGTTTGCTGAGAATCAAAAGAATATGGTATAACAGTAATTGAAGCTTGTGAAAACTTTTAATGCCTCATAAGTCATTGTCATTTCAGTACAATAACGTGCTGACATAAGTTCGTAATACAGGCCGGAATCGGGAATTCCACACGGATTGCAAAATTCCATAGCATTAATAACAAACAACACGACGCTTATTACCGTAGTCGAGGGCTAATAATTACCTATAATTAGCGTCCACCAATCGACACTAGGTCGTGAGTAGTTTAAAGGCGTCATATTAACCAGACACAGTTTCGTTGAAAATAGCTAAATCCCAAGGTCATTGCTCCCCCGCGATTGTACAATGATGAATATGATGCCTATATATGGTACAATGGATAGAACACTCTCCATTTTAATTTATTATTCTTATTCCCCTTAGCGTTAGTCGTACACTATCAGCAATAGGCATTGATCGGCTATTGCAACGATCACGAGACATCTGCTACAAAATTTCTATTGTTCTTCATACTGTATGTACTTTTAGTTTCTCACTAGACCAAATCCGAGAATGCAAGGGGAATTCCTACCACTATTGATGATCATTAACCGATAGCCCGGAATAATAAACAAAAGTATTTATCGTTGGGTGGGGAAGTTCGAAATAGAAAGGATCTGATGCTAATTCCAATATATAACCAATTTCTGTCCACATTCTCGCATAGTCAACCACACCCAGATGTTCACTGCCCGATCATTAGTAAATCGTATAGTTCGTACCCAAGCATTCAGAACATGTACCATAACTAAAGTCTCTCGGGTAATTATGACTGTGATTTATGCAAACTGAAGGTCAAAGTCATTAGAATGACGATTGTTAACATCTGTTATATATAATAACAAAGACTTTCGTAACAGCAACTCGAAAATGTCAAAACCAGGAAAAAGTTGAGTTTCCTGGAGCACCCAGGAGCTACTTTACAGAAAAATTGGAATTTATTCATAGTATAGATGCAATTCCAACGTACCGAGTCATGGATAAAGAGGGGAAAGTTCTAGTTCCAGAAGAAGAGCCAAATGTAATGACATTCTCGCTTCGCTATCATTTCTCACTGATGTTAATAATCACCCCCATAACCATTATGCTGACACTTTTTTTAAAAACAAAGATTACCGAGGAGTTTGCCACAAAGATCTACAAGGATATGGTAACTCTCAATACGATGGACCTTATTTTATATGAAGCTCAACGACAAGGTCGGATATCCTTCTATATGACCAACTACGGCGAAGAAGCCATCATTAGCTGTGGTGCGGCTCTTGATCCATCCGACGTTATCTTTGGACAATACCGTGAAGCTGGCATACTTCTTTACCGTGGGTTTACGCTCGACGAGTTCATGAACCAGTGCTACAGTAACGAAAAAGATCACGGCAAAGGACGACAGATGCCTGTACACTACGGTTCAAAGAGTCTGAACTTTCAGACGATATCTTCACCGCTAGCGACACAGATACCTCACGCTAGTGGTGCTGCATATGCATTAAAGAGGACAGGGAAAAAGAACTGTGTGATGTGTTTCTTTGGTGATGGTGCTGCAAGCGAGGGTGATTTTCACGCCGCATTGAATTTTGCCGCCACTATGCAGTGCCCAGTTATCTTCTTCTGGTACGTTGTGATGATTTCTTGTCCCGAGTAATATCTTGCTTGTTCTGCATTCAAGACTGATTAATTATCATTGCTAATTTAACAGCCGTAATAATGGTTATGCGATATCTACACCAGCTCTTGAGCAATATAAAGGTGATGGAATAGCAAGTCGCGGTATAGGCTATGGTATCGATACAATACGGGTCGACGGTAATGACGTCTGGGCAGTGTACAACGTAACAAAAGCAGCAAGACAATTAGCTGTTGATGAACACCGGCCAGTACTAATTGAAGCACTCACCTACCGAGTTGGTCACCATAGTACGAGCGATGATTCATCTGCGTATAGATCGAAGAAGGAAGTGGAGACATGGATGAGGTATGATAACCCAATAACAAGGTTTCGTAAGTGGCTACATAATAAGGTGAATAATAATGTTTGGCAAAAAAGCTTGGAGTGGGGGGGGATAGCGACGGGTTATTTTGTCTAAAATGTTGAATGGTTCTTGTAGGGCTGGTGGAACGATGAAAAAGAAGCAAATTACCGAGTAGATATCAGGAAGGAGATATTAAAGTCTTTCTCCAAGGCAGAAAAAATTCATAAACCGTCACTCACCGAACTCTTTAGTGATGTATACGATAAGCCAACACCTAATTTAATCGCTCAGCAGAAGGAATTGAGAGAGATTATTCAGAAATATCCGGCCAACTATCCCTTGGCCGATTTTAAAAATGGGGGAGAGGACCTTTGAATCTGAAGTTGCAGTCACATTAGTGAACCGGTGTCCGAACGTTGATACAAGGTCTAGAGTAATATAACAATAGAAGAAGTCGCTCGCGACGGGTGAATTGGTGGTATTAATTATAGATCTGCTGATAAGACCAATAATCTAGACGGTATGATAATTTTAACTATCCCCATTCTGCCACATTACTATAGTCAAGCCACCTGGCGGCGGAGGCAGTCTAAGTGATGGTGGAAGATCCTTTACGGGAGGTGAAGGTGGTGGTCTACTTAATTCATTCAGTTGCTTGTTGAACTGATTCTGTGATGAGTATTGGCTGTGTCAGAACGTATAATCACAATAATAAACATAAACTAGAAAGCGATGAGAGAAAAGATAACAATAATATCACTCACAATGAGGATCAATGGTTGACACGTCGACTGAGGCGATATCACATGAAAGTATCTGCGGCCAAGTCCAAATGGACAGAAACCAGTTTCAAGGAATCTTCGACCAGGAGGTTTTTCAACGGGGTCTAACAAAGCAACATGCATTCCGATGTTGATAACACTGTATTAAAATTCAATATAAATAGGCCATAAACACACCTTTGTACGCATCATAGCGATGTTTCACACTCAATTAGAGTTGTACTCCTTCAAGACGTTTCTTTCGTGCTTCAGGAATGTCGCGAAATGATCTATCACAGTAATCTGCAATAAATACGACGATGAGCATTGTGACAAAAATGGCAAGATAAATCGGCACGAGAGAATAAACATGTCGATTTTACATTTAATACAAGAATACTTGCTCAGGAACGTGATCTAAGAAATAGAGTTAATTGTAGGCATACGAATTGTTGTGTGGCTTAAATAAATTACCAACTATTTCCAGCTGATGTTCACGCAAAGTTCCATTTTTGGAGGCGAGTGTTTGACAATTTATTTGAATCTCTTAAAATTGTTTACAAATCTATAAAAATTGAAAGGGTCATTACTATGTACGTAAAGGTAATACGATGGTAGGATATTTATGATCGTTACCGCAATATTGGTATCGGTAGTTCTGAACTCAAAATGCAACACTTTCCATACAAAAGCTTTTTTATGGAATATATATGTTACACCGATTATTTGCTACATTTATTCACGTGGGCAGAGCCATTGCTATTGCATGAGCATGCACTTCACATTTTAATTACTTGGGTATAGACAAAGTCAGGAGGGCAAGAACTCTTCAGTAAACAAAGCGCTCGTCTTCAAAGACAGTATGAATGAAAAAATTTTATGTGAGCTATTTATTTATTTATCGATAAGATTGGAGCAAAGACTCGTCTTCGTGTTACACCAGATTTTTACCCCTTTTGTTCTATGCAATGTAATTTTGATGAAGGGAGTATATCTTAAAATCTAATTATTTGGCTGATATTATAAATGACTAGAATACAGGTTGAAACTATAATATAGGAGTTTGCAAGTTTATGTGGAAACCTTAATTTGGTTTAATTAACGATCTTTGGACGTGTTACGGTAAGTTACGAATTATATGCTTGAGTATTATAACTGCACATACTGCCTTCGGTAATAGAAAAGATACGCAAAATTCCGTGTTTTATTTAATCATTCAAGCGCCTGCTCATTTATCAGCCGAATCTTCAACCCTGTTTATCTTTTATCGCATACTTACTGTCCGATATGGCCGGCTTTAACAATCAATCAATTCACGAAAGTCATACATACAGTATTCCATTCGAGGTGCATAATATGGACACTAACCATTCTGACATCCTTCCATTAAACCAAACACCTATTGTGGACTCGGGTTACGCGAACGTAAATAGTATGGACTTCAATGAAGTTTATCCTCACAGTCAGGTTGTTCTTCCTTCTGATATCGGCCCTCGGCATTTACATGGGTGTAAATGAACCGTTGAATACCGAGTATTACGGATACGAAAATCGAGTCAACGAGGCAACAATGAGCGATGACTTGAATAATTACAATTAACCCTCGATTTATTATCACCTCAAGCATCAGATATATTTCTACCTTTTCCAACAACGCAAGCATTATGACAACGCTATATGAGTCACGGCAAGTAATAATTATTATGAATGCTGATATTAACGTGGAAAGATTATTATCCATTATTCAATCATGTGGGAGGGTGGAAAGAATATATATATATAATTTATTTATCTAGCCTTCACTTTCATATATCGACTTTGTCATTAGCAGCTTTTTGGGTGATTCTCATTGTTTGTCCTTTTCATATGTTATTGGTTGCTTTTGAATGTAGGAATAACGATTACACTTATTCGTACCGTTCCAAGAGGGATAGTTTTTGTAGTTGGTCATTTCCCGGAAATTGAAATAACAAAAATCAACGCGGAAGTTGCTCCCTATTAACGTTAGTATTAGCTATTTCTGAATGAGACTATACAGTAACTTGAAACTCCTGGCTAGGTTATTATTTAGGAAGTTTCTCAGCTATTCTAGTGGACTTTAAACATTTCTTAGCTTTTCAATTCGGGAATAAATTTAAAGAGTACCTCTTAGATAGCTACTCAACATGAGCATTAAATAGTAGGCATAATTTACGGATACAAGTTGATAGTAATCTACCGTACCAATTAGATTTGACTCGGAGCATAATTCAAATAAAAATATATGCTTGGCGAATGGAGTACAGTATTGGTATCAATTAAATCGCAATACTTTATCTATACATGCAGTGAAACATGGGGATATGTTTTTTTGTTGCTTTTAATGTGTTTAAACTGCCACCGATGCAGATCTAACTAACACCAAGACATTATGGATTGTTTTCAATACTACGCCAGCTTCACGAGACTTACTATATAACTTCACTATATCAGGGAAAATTGCCTAAATAGGGGTAAATTTATAAAATCGGTTGGTTTCAACAAAAATGTGACTACATGGAGGTTGTGACTAAGAGGTGCTTATAAAGGGGTACGACTGTATTAATGTTAATAAAGAAAAATGGCCAACTTACAAAAACCATCCACCAAGAGTACGAATAAGTGTAATCGCTATTCCTACATTAAGGGAACCGATAGAAAGCAAGCAATAAGGTATCTCAGTTCGATAAAACAATGAAAAATCCAAAAATTTACTAATACCAAAAAATGCGATATATAAAAAATGAAGAACAACAATATAATCTTTCTACCCTCGCAAATAATTGAATCAGAGACATTAACCTTTCCAGGTTAATGTCCACTTTTACAATAATTACTGTGCATCCATGACTCGTAGCGTTTGCCATCGCGCCAGCGTTGTTGGAAAGAATAGAGGCAGGTGGTGTTTGTACCGATGTTTGGTGAAGAGGATAATGAACAGAAGGTGGACTGTAGTTGGTCAAATTATGGTTCATAGTTGAATAGTTGACCGCATTTTTATTGTTCTCGATATATCCATAATTTTCGGTATTCAACGATTCATTCACATCAATGCAAATGCCGTTGTGATCTAAAAGGCCGATATCAGAAGGAAAAAAAATCTTGACCGGGAGGTTGGAGAGACGTTTGACTACGAAGGTAGGAATGGGTCCATATTAATCGGTTGATCCATGTTCGCGTCCGTCATAACTCCGTAACACAAATCTAATTATATACATTCCAATGGGGTATTGAGTTGAGTGTATCAAATGTAAATAATCAGAAACCTTGCAGGGATTTCTTTCGACGGTGATAATACGTTATTTAAAATAAAAACAATCTATCAATTTTCGCCAATATAAATTAGGTTTACAGAATGCTTAATATTCACAAGCAAATTTTTTTTTTTTTTTTTTTTTTTTTTTTTTTTTTTTTTGAGAATTATCAACTTTCTCAATTTCCAACGTTATTATTATAATACGTAAATCAACTCGCTCTGCAAACGTACACACTGTATTAAAAAGTAAGTGTCAGAATGCTGCCCGCTAACACAAACATTCCTTCGCAAATGTCTCGTACTGTTCCGACGGGAAGAGTCGATACCGAAACACACGTGTTGGTGTTTGGTGATTGTATGAAATGTAACACATTAAATCGTATTACTATGTAACACATTATTTTCACTATACAGAACAATATAACAATGAATTAACAATTCAATTAAGAAGCCATAACAAGTTATGTTAGTATACACAACATCACATTGATGCTAGTCAGGCCTGGTCTAATCAAATAATAATAACATTAAGATTGTTTAAATATGCTACTGTGCCTGTTCAACGTGTGGAAGAACCTTAATACCAAATGAGATTTCCTTCAACAAAGAACATGTTACAATTTGTACATACTAAAAAACATTGGCCTATCACATGGTCAGTCATCGTA